AAATGAATGCTGCAGTTTATCATACAAGAATTCCCCAACCTTGTGAAAATATAAAGTAGATAAAAACAAACATTAGATAATCCCCTCCTTAAAACCTTTAGATGTAATTACAAATAAGAAGTATATACATACATATATCAACAAGGACTTTTTTGTTTAGTTGTTGTAGATATCTCAAATAGGAAATGAGAGAACAGATAATAATAGTGCAATATGTTTTTACATTTTTTTTGTAATAACACTTTGTAACAAAGGCACACTCACACTTTTGAGAGCTACTAAGAGCTCTGCTGTTATTAGTGTGGACAGTACAATCCCCGTCTCAGGATGTATGCTCAACAGTGGTGATGGTAATTCTTCAATAAAGTGCAGTATGTGGAGACATTAACGAAAATATCCAATAGCGTAATATGTACAGTAAAGCTCAAAATAGAGTAACGGTAGGTATTCTACTTACATGCGGTAGAGCATGTACCTAATCTGGTATGATGGAGCTTTGGTGTTATTAATCCTACCTTGGATATGTAGAACCAAAGGGTTGGAGAAAACCAGGAAGCCAAAAGGAACAAAGTAAATTCCAAATATATTGAAATTACAAGGATAAACTCTATTCCAATAACAAAATAATAAACAAGCAGAAAAAATATAGTAGTATATTAAAAGCAAACCAAGTCGGTTATAAACACACTTTATGCATTTCACTGTGGGGGTTTCCTTCAGAAGTGTGATATCCATTTAGTCTGTTTATATAAGCAAAGTCTTTACATGCATGGTTTTACCAAGTGTTGAGAAAGGTTTCTCATTGGTTTCCTAGAATACTTCTGGTTTTTGGACATAAACCAGGAGTGACGTACTGTATATACTCGAGTATAAGCTGACCCGATTATAAGCCGAGGGACCTAATTTTACCACAAAAAAACTGGGAAATGCAGCAGGGTGGGAAATGCAGCAGCTACTGGTAAATTTCTAAATAAAATTAGATCCCAATAAAATTACATTAATTAAATATTTATTTACAGTATGTGTATATAATGAATGCAGAGTGTGTGTGTTTGTGTAGTGTGTGTATATAATGAATGCAGAGTGTGTGTGTTTGTGTAGTGTGTGTATCTAATGAATGCAGAGTTTGTGTTTGTGTAGTGTGTGTATATAATGAATGCAGAGTGTTTGTGTAGTGTGTGTATATAATGAATGCAGTGTGTGTGTGTTTGTGTAGTGTGTATATAATGAATGCGGAGTGTGTCTGTTTGTATGAATGCAGTGTGTATATGATGCAGAGTGTGTGTGTGTGGAGTTAAACAGTTAATCATTAACTTCTTGTCTGGGCTATGGAACTCATATTGTAGTGGGCAGCAAGCAACTGTAGATAAAGCCTGTTGGCCTATGTATGTGAGTCGTGACCACCGTATCAATCAATGCACACTGGCATATGAGTGTTCTGAAGTAGACTTAATACAAAACTAACTACATGGATAGTCATCAGAAAAGGAGTTAGAAAATTAACGTAAATATGTAGTGTGTTACTGGAGTGGGCAGCCCGGTGAGTGCTATGTATAGGAAAGAGAAGGTGGTGGAGATGGAGCTACCCTAAGTAGATATGTAGTGTTCTGGATCGTGTTCCGAGATCCCGTGGTGAACTCAGCCCGTTTCCTCTAAAGGTAGGGCACTGTCCCCTGTAACAAGCTTGCTCGTTAGGTTACCGTGCTGTGGGAGTGAGCTGGTTGGCGGGTATGGTCCCTTGGTGGTGGTGGGGTCGTGCAGGTTAGTGTTCCCCCGTCAAGTCAAGAGCGGACTTGTGGCTGTCAATGCCGGTAGTACTCCGGTTGTACTCCAGTGGGGGAAGTGGGGGGAGGGGTGGGAAGTATTAGTCTCTGTGTGGTCACAGAGCTCCTGGCAGGTGCCTGAGTGTTTAATTTATTAATTTAATATTTCATTTTTTTAGCCCCCCCCCTCCCTGCTTCTTACTTGGCCAGGGAAGGGGGCTATGTAAATCCTTGGTGGTCCAGTGGCATTGGATGTTCAGTGGGGGGGCCGGGAGCAAGCTGTTTCTTACTTTTACAGCAGCTCCGGTCACCTCCGTTCAGCTAACCCAGTCAGCTCACAGTGTAAGTCTTGCGGTCTGCGTGCCGCGCGGAGCGTTGCCATGGTAACCTGTTGCAACACTCTGACGGCCTTGGGTCTCGCAAGACTTACACTGTGAGCTGAACGGAGGTGACCGGAGCTGCTGTAAAGGTAACAGCTTGCTCTCGGCACCCAACAGGAACGCCGGGCTTGTAATGAGCCCAGCCGTCCTTGTCTATATTATGGAAATGTAAGTTGCCATAATACAGACACTGACTCGAGTATAAGCCGAGTGGGGCTTTTTCAGCACCAAAAATGTGCCAAAAAACTCGGCTTATACTCGAGTATATACGGTAGTTGGTTTCGAAATCTGCAATTGGTACATCTAGCAAACTTATGTAGATTAGTGGGTTTTTTGTTACAAAGTGTTATTTAAAAACTTTTTAAAAAACATATTGCACTATTATCTGTTATCTCCTTTTCTCTTTGATATATCTACAAGAAATAAACAAAACAGACCTTGTTGATATATGCATGTATATACCTCTTATTTGTGGTTACAAGTAAAGTTTTTACTGTGCGGATTATGTATTGTTTGTTTTTATCTACTTTATGTTTTTACATCCTTTAGGTTTGAATCCTCCTTCCAGGAGAGGGTCTTCCTGTATTAAACGCTCAATTTGTTACTCATTGCTGTAAAAAGGAAAGCAAAACATACCATACAAGTAAATAATGATTTCCACATGTACAATCTGCATTAACCCCTTAAGGACTGAGCCAAATGTACATGTAATGTAATGTTGTGATCAAAGCAAAACGTAAACAAAAACTTGAATTTGCGCTATATGTCTGTTCAGGCGTAATTCGCCTCTTTCATATTATGTGCACCCACAATTATTATATATAATTTTATTCAGGGGAAACAGGGCTTTCATTTAACATCAAATATTTAGGTATAAAACATAATTTAATATGAATAACATATTAAAAAATGGGAGAAAATTATTTAAAAAAAATATTTAGTTCTACGTGACATTCTAACTGTGAATGTCATAATACTTTTTGCTTTTACTGCAATAAAGTACACATATTTGTATTCAGCGATGTCTCACGTGTAAAACAGTAAGCCCTATGTACAGGTTTTATGGTGTTTTGGGAAGTTACAGGGTCAAATATAGCATGTTACATTTTTCAGTTTTTTCACATTGAAATTCGCCAGATTGATTACGTTGCCTTTGAGACCGTATGGTAGCCCAGGAATGAGAATTACCCCATGATGGCATACCATTTGCGAAAGTAGACAACCCAAGGTATTGCAAATGGGGTATGTCCAGTCTTTTTTAGTAGCCACTTGGTCACAAACACTGGCCAAAGTTAGTGTTAGTATTTGTTTGTGTGTAAAAAAAATGCAAAAAACTAATTTGAATGCCAATTTTGTATAAAAACTGAAAAGCAAACCTTATATTTGACTCTGTAACTTTTGAAAACACCATAAAACCTGTACATGAGGGGTACTGTTATACTCAGGAGAGTTCGCTGAACACAAATATTAGTGTTTCAAAACAGTAAAACGTATCACAACAATTATATAAGTGCCATTTGTGTGTGGAAAATGCAAAGAATTTCACCGTCACTGACGATGATATCATTGTAATACATTTTACTGTTTTGAAACACTAATATTTGTGTTCAACGAAATCTTCTGAGTAAAACAGTGTACAGGTTTTATGGTGTCTTGGAAAGTTACAGGGTTAAATAAAGTGCTAGCAAATTAAATTCCGTGGACTTTTGACCTGGGTTGTCAGGCAGGTCCCGTAAATTGTAATTAATAAAATTACCTAATTATGTAAAATTATTACATATACACATATATATATATATATAGTGACAAAAGTACTCCTTTCCCTTGGTACCTTGTCCTGGGATTGGAGTGTTACACACAGTCTTTTCAGGCTTTAGAGACACTTCACATGCTGGATGAGGTAAAAGGACTTGCTCTTTTTATTGTGGTTCCAAAATAAATGCACAGTAAGGTATAAAAGGTTGTAACAAAATATATACAAACAAAATCCTTGCTCTTCTGAGCACTAACTAAACAAAATAATTAGCTAACTGGGTTGGATGGCTTATCCATTTCCCAACATAAACAACAACCTTACTGTTTCAGGGTTTTTCAGCTCTCTGTTTCCACTTACAGAAATCAAACACAATCTCTCTCTTCCTTTGGCAGGGGAGTACTTAATAGCACTTGTAATTAACAATTCTTTTCAGGTGAGGTAAATTAGGATTGAAACTCTGGAACTGGACTTCTCACAGGTAGGTTCCAACCAACTTCCAAAATGTGGAATGTAGCACTGGCCCACCCTACTCTCCAAGTGCTCCACCCCAGGGACTAAATATACACATATTTAAAGTGCAATATTCATTTTAACAGAACACATTTCCCTGTGGCTAATTACACAAAGTAGGAACCTAGCAAAATCTGGGGAGGTATATAGATTCCCTCCCACACAATTCCTTGCTTTCGGTCACACATCCTCCCCCCCAGCTCACACCTATTGGGTCGAGCGACCATGAACATTAGCGAGTGCATCCGCGAAAGACCATCTGCATTTCCCTGTTTACACCCAGCCCTATGGAAAAATTATAGGGTTGCAAGCTAAGGAACCAGCGGGTTACTCTACTATTTTTCTCCCTGTTTTGGCTCATCCAAGTAAGGGGTGCATGGTTTGTCACTAGTCTGAATTTTCGTGTCTAGTGCCCACTTTATAGCCAGACACTCCTTCTCTACAATGGAATAGTTTCTTTCCTGGGACTGGGAAGAATACCTCTTTATTTAATCTAATAAACTCCTTAACTTCCCTTGTCTGGTGTATTGACAGGGTCTCTGAGATATTTACTTCGGGGTCAATATTACACTTATCAGGGAAGGTTGAAGTCTCTGTAGTAACAAGAACTTCCCTTTCTTTCCATGGTTTTAGCAAATTGACATGGTATAATTGCACTTCCTTTCTTCTACCTGGTTGCCTTACTTTATAATTTACCTCTCCCACTCTTTCAATAATCTCATATGGCCCATGCCAAGTTGCCAGGAATTTGTTCTCTACTGTGGGAACCAGGACTAATACTCTGTCTCCTGGTTGAAATACTCGAATTCTAACATTCTTATTATAGCTATTCTGCTGATTTTGTTGAGCCTTTTGCATGTGTTCTCTGACTATTGGCATAATGGCTTTAATACGTTCCTGTATCTGAGTTATGTGTTCTATTACTCTGCGATGTGTGTTAGCTTCTTGTTCCCAAGTTTCCTTTGCTATGTCAAGTAATCCCTTGAGGTGTCTGCCATATAATAATTCAAAAAGTGAGAAACCTGTAGAAGCTTGGGGTACTTCTCTAATGGCAAACATTAAATAGGGCAATAGAAAGTCCCAGTTTTTCCCATCTTTATCAGTTACTTTGCGCAGCATAGCTTTTAACATTTTATTAAAGCGCTCAACCAAACCATCGTTTTGTGGGTGATAAACAGAGGTTTTGAGGTGTTTAATGTGAAGGAGCTTGCAGAGTTCCTTTGTAACCTTGGACATGAATGGAGTACCCTGATCTGATAGGATTTCCTTGGGAATCCCAACCCGGCTAAACATCATCATTAATTCTTTAGCAATGGACTTTGCTGAGGTTGTATGCATAGGTATTGCCTCAGGGTAATGGGTAGCATAGTCTAGTACTACTAATATATACTAATGCCCCCTAGTGGATTTTACCAGAGGACCCACAAAATCCATAGCAATACGTTCAAAAGGCACTTCAATAACAGGCAAGGGTACTAAAGGGCTACGATAAGCCGTAAAGGGCGCAGTGACCTGACATTCAGGGCATGACGAACAGTAGTTTTTGATAGCTGCGATTACTCCGAGCCAATAAAATCTCCTCAAAACTCACTCTCTTGTTTTGTCAACCCCTAGGAGGCCACCCAAAACATGGCTATGTGCAAGGTTTAACACAGTGCGCCAATAGGCTTGTGGTACTAACAGCTGCTTTGTAATAACTGACTCTTTTCTCAACTCTGTACAACAGATCATTATCCACTTCAAAATAAAAGTAAGTAAGAGAATTCCCTGGATTTACTGGGAATCCATTCCTTATAGAAATATTATTCCTGGCTACCAATAATGTTGGGTCAGATCACTGTGCACTTCTGAAGTTACCAGGCCTAACCTCTACATCAATTAACTCTTTTTCTAGTTCAAAGCTTCTAGAAGATCCCGCATTAGTTTGTTCTGGGTTTTCACCAACTAATGTTTTTAATAGGGGAGTGCTGCATATGGTTAGGTCCATCATCATGATCTCTCTCATCTGCCAGAGTATCTGAAAAAGGAAATTAATTATTCTGTTCACCTGATGGGTTTTCAAAACAGGCCCATAGGTCTAGAAAATGGGGAAAATCCCTTCCAATAATCATCTCATGTGCCAGTTTTGGTACAAGCCCCACTCTGCAGTTTACAGTACCACACTGGGTCTTAACAAGTATATCTGCAGTAGGGTAGTTATGTATATCCCCGTGCACACAAGCAATATCAACTTTTTCAGAGTTAACAATGTGAGTATCCTGTAATAAGGATTGGTCTAGAAGGGTAACCATACTCCCTGAATCTAGCAATGCCTGTATATTTTTTCCCTCCACATTCACGGTACACCCAGGGTGACAATTCAAATAACCATTTTTTTCCGCAGAACATACAACCTGTGAATAAAGTGTAATTCCTTCCCAATTATTACCAAAATTACACTCCATTGGTTCAACATTTTCAGGACAGTCTTTTGCAATATGCCCAAAGTTTCTGCATTTAAAGCATTTTATAACATAATTAGTACTTTTTGATTCCTTTGTGGGCTCTTCCCACCTCCCAAAGTCTTTTTCTCTTTTAACAATGTCTCTTGGGTAATAAACCCCTGTTCTCTCATCAAAAGACCCCCTTTTCCCTGGAACAGTCTTGCCATATTTGCTGGGGCTGTAGGTTTTCTGATTCTTGGGTCTCTCTTGGCCAGGAGGGTGAAGCAGTTCTCCCGCTGCTATATACCATTCAACCAATTGGTCTGCTGTTTGGGGATTGCTCGGACTGACCCACCGACGAAGTCCAATAGGTAAGCCTCTCGGGAATCTTTCCATCACCAGTTGCTCCACAATGCGGCTGGGTGAGTTGATCTCTGGCTGCAACCATTTTCTGACAAGGTGTATCAAGTCAAACATCTGTGAACGAATCGTTTTATCCAGGCTGTAAGTCCACGAATGAAATCTCTGGGCACGGACAGCTGTTGTCACCCCCAGGCGTGCCAGTATTTCTGCTTTCAGCTTCTTGTAGTCACTGGCTTCAGCTGGTACCAGATCATAGTATGCTTTCTGGCATTCACCAGTAAGAAATGGTGCTAGCAGACTTGCCCATTCCACTGCAGGCCAACCTTCTCGCTCAGCGGTTCGCTCAAATGCCATCAGGTAGGCCTCTACATCATCTGTGGATACCATCTTTTGCAAGTAGTGACTCACTCTGATCACCTTTGGACATTGTGGTGATTTTGTGGCATCCCTGGCCAGCCTTTGTGATAGACTCTGGATCTCCTACTGTATGGCACATGTGGCATGCTGCTGCTCCTCTCTGAGCAATTGATGAGCTGCTGCCTGTGCTGCTTCAAGTTGCTTGAATAAAGCATCGGTATTTTCCTTTTGAGCCAGTACAAGCTGCTGCAGTACTGAAATGCTCTCTTGCATTAGTCTTTGCAGTCCTTCTGTTTGTCTCTTGCTGTACAGCAGTGGATTGGAGCAAAGTTTTCATGACATCCTCCATTTTCTTAGCAGTCTCTTTCTCCCAACTTACAGACTTTGCCGCGTGTTGCCCGCATTCTCCACCATATGTGACAAAAGTACTCCTTTCCCTTGGTACCTTGTCCTGGGATTGGGGTGTTACACACAGTCTTTTCAGGCTTTTGAGACACTTCATACGCTGGATGAGGTAAAAGGACTTGCTCTTTTTATTGTGGTTCCAAAATAAATGCACAGTAAGGTATAAAAGGTTGTAACAAAATATATACAAACAAAATCCTTGCTCTTCTGAGCACTAACTTAACAAAATAATTAGCTAACTGGGTTGGATGGCTTATCCATTTCCCAACATAAACAACAACCTTACTGTTTCAGGGTTTTTCAGCTCTCTGTTTCCACTCACAGAAATCAAACACAATCTCTCTCCTCCTTTGGCAGGGGAGTACTTAATAGCATCTGTAATTAACAATTCTTTTCAGGTGAGGTAAATTAGGATTCAAACTCTGGAACTGGACTTCTCACCTGTAGGTTCCAAGCAACTTCCAAAATGTGGAGTGGAGCACTGGCCCACCCTACTCTCCAAGTGCTCCACCCCAGGGACTAAATATACACATATTTAAAATGCAATATTCATTTTAACAGAACACATTTCCTTGGGGCTAATTACACAAAGTAGGAAATTTGCAAAATCTGGGGAGGTATATAGATTCCCTCCAGCACAATTCCTTGCTTTCGGTCACAGTATATAATTTTGTAAAATTATTTTTATTTATATATAGGTATATATATATATATATATATATATATATATAATGATATATACATATATACTTAGGTATATAGATATATATATATATTATTTCATTCTACGTGTTTTTTGATATCAATATATATATTAATTTTAAAATACAGTTAGAATGAAATTACACATATTTTATTTATTTATTATTTTTTTAATTTTATTTTTTAATGTATTTACATTTATATTTATTTTATATTATATATATATATATATATATATATATATATATATATAATGATCATTTCACCACATGACAGGAGGCTTCATATTTTGCATTAACTTTCTTTACTAACTTCAAAGCAGCAAAGAAAAAACAGTTGAAAGAAAGAACCAATCAGCTTGAGTCAGAGAGTATATAAGTTCCAGCCTAGCCAATCATTTCCTCTTTCTTTGCTGCTCCATCACAAGTCAGGTCAGAGTAATACTTTCTTAACTGTTTTTTGTCTGTGTTAATGTGTTAAAGGTATTATCTACATAGTTTGTCTTTACTGTTATACAGATACTGGGGGGTGGCAAGGGGTCACTTTTGGGGGTACCCCTTTAACGGTTTCACCATTCCGGGGATCCCCTGTTTTACCTCATAGCTACGGGGTAATCTCATCCCCCTCCCCTCCCCATTCCTCGAGTGGCTACGTTCGCCATGTTCATATAGGGCTCACTGCTCTGTTCGTGCACTTCTCCGCACGAATAGAGCAAGCTGGCCCTAGGTTCGCGCGTGCCCATCCAGCAAAGACGCGAATGCTCAATAGCCCAGTGCATTCACACGAACGGACTGGGTTCATATAAGTAATTCAGTCCGTTCACGGCTTCTCCTTCCATAGACGTTCAGCTGCTTGCAAACCCGCGAATGGAGCCGTTCACGAGCTTTACCGAACGATTGTAGGTTTTTCTGTTTGCCTTCGCGGGCTTTTTTCCTTCCTGTTCACCGCAGCGGCTATTTCGTGAGGCTCTTGGGGAAGTCCAACTCTCATCACCACCAGGCTCATACAAGGAGACCTTTGACTGCTGGGAAAAGTGCCTACTGTTGGAGTGTACAAGGTGGGTGTTATAACCCTAGGGAGTGGGACAGCCAGTTAGGTTTTATACCCAGTAACCTGGCTAGTGTAAAAACTGTGGGAGGAGTTAGGGTGGTAAATTTGGCTATAATAAGAATAATAACAATAATATATATGTGAGATAACATTAAGTGGTCTTGCTATGCAAAAACACTTAATAACAAAGCAATAGCCCACACCTACCCATGAAACAGCTTTTGAGTCAATTGTCCAAATATCTTTGGTCTCTTGAAAAAGAGAGGGCTACATATTAAAAAGCTGTAATTCCTAAACCCTTTCTCCAATTTTGTATGTGAATAACCTTAGATTAAAGATTATAGACTGCATTTTAAACACCTATTCATTATAGAGCTACCAAAATAACAAAACTTCAGTGCAAACTTCAAATATATTCAGACATAACAGTGTATGTATATATATATATATATATATATATATATATATATATATATATACACACACACACACAATGTCTGTCCAGA